GCAGAAGCAGCAGAAGTCTTTCTTTCTCTCCCCCAAACTCTACCAAAAATGAGTCTTTGTGAGACTTGTCACGCCAGCACAGCCTCTTGGAGCAGGATGCCTTGGAGGGTCCCAAAGACTCATTTCTGGCGGAGTTTGAGGGAGAGAAAGAAAGACTTTTGCTGCTTTCCTTGCGTGCAGCCCAAAGCAGAAGCAGAAAGAAGCAGCCCGGTGGCCAGGTGAGGTGAGGAGGCAAGTTTCCCCCCTCTGCCCTTCCCCTCCCTCCCCTCACTACCTCATGCTGTTTGCAATGCAAGCGACACAAGGCTTGTGTTCCTGCAGGCCATGTGGGTGGCGCAGCCTTGTGTTCCCGTGCAGTCTGGATTAATTGCTTTGGGGGGTGACATTTCTCTCCAGACCACCAAAATTTTCTCGCGGACCACCAGTGGTCCCCGGCCCACTGGTTGGCGACCACTGATCTAAAGGTAAAGGTTCTCCTCTCACATAGGTGCTAATCGTTTCCGGCTCTAGGGAATGGTCCTCATCTCCATTACAAAACTGAAGAGCCAGCGCTGTCCAAAGATGTCTCTGTGGTCATGTGGCCGGCATGACTAAACGCCGAAGGCACACGGAACACTTTTACCTTCCCACCAAAGTAATCCCTATTTTTCTACTTGCATTTTTTACCTGCTTTCGAAATGCTAGGTTGGCAGAAGCTGGGACAAGTAACGGGAGCTCACTCCATTACGTGACGCTAGGAATCGAACCACCAAACTGGAGACCTTTCTGATCAACAAGCTCAACGTCTTAGCCACTGAGCCACCGGGTCCCTATAGTGTAAACTATAGGCCTACATACCTCAAAGACCTTGGAAGAAAACCTGTGTTTGCAAACAAGGGGAGGAGGCGATTATGAATATTTTAACAAAACTGAATTATGGGATTGAAAAACTGTATTTCCCCATGTATAAAGCCGAGGGAACTACCTGCCTTTGTCCTGTGAGCTGCTCTCTTCTGCCTTCTACATAGTTGGTTTTCCCATTTTCATAGCTGAAGAATTGCCACAGCAACTAGTTGTGATGTCACATCCTAGGAACTGTGACTTCAGTCAAGGGCTGAAGGAGGAAAACGGTGGCTTTTTTTTTTTCTTACACAGAGATGGGGGGAGGGATTAAAAACATTCCTGGGCTTCCAATTTTGCTACCCACTTGTCAGATTTTTAATTTTTGAAACTGGTTGCAGGATTGCCTGTTCTTGATTTATTCGTGCTATTCGGTTAAAGGCAAGCAAGCCTGTGCGACTTAGAAGTTTAATACGGAATATAAGCCAGTATTAACTTCTCTGTAATCCCATGCATACTTACCTTGAGTAATCCCAAATTCAGGGACATCCTTCCGAAGAGGCCCTCTTCAATTCAGCCTGTTAGGAGTCATTTTTAGTTCATCCATATCCCACAACTCAGTCTAAGATCATGTTGTGCCTACTCATTTGCGATGTCCTGATCGATGTTGATAAAAAAAGTATCATTCCTAGCTAAAATCCAGATGTATTTAAGAAACAGGACTGTTTGGAAACTGAAACTTGAAATAGCCTAGGCGTGGATCTATATGAAGCTCTGCAGCTCTGAAGCCGTGTTAAGCTCCGAGTCTGACTATTGAAGATGAAACTGCTTCTCTCCTCTGTGACTTGCTTGCCTGCTTGCTGAAAACTAGAGCTCTGCTCTGAACCTGCAAGATATCTGCTTCTGTTTGAGTTTGCTGTGTTGGAGAAATCTATAACTGGTATTGTAAAATTTACTTTGTATGTTTATCAAGAAGTTAAATGAAGCCTCAGTCACCCGTGTTACTTTTCTGGTGCTGAATTTATGCTGCAATACTCTGAACATGTGCGTGTGCCCCCCCCCCCACACACACACACTTTGTGCAGGCGCAGTCTTTCCTACTTACTTCCTGCACTCTCCATATCTTCAACAGATGACACACATCAATCTGTACCGTGCAAAGCAGCTGCGCTTCAAAAGCAGGAAATGAAGGTCAGTGTGGGAGCCCAGGCGGGTGGCAGGGCTCAACAGCAGATCGTTGGAGCGAACCGGTTCGCTCCCAGGTGATCATTGGAGCTACCGCTTGAGTCGAACTAGGCTGAACTGGTAGAATCCCACCCGTGGTTTAATTAATGCAAGATCTTGGATGGGTGGTATCAGAACTGATCGGATGGAAGAGCAACAGGGCTTGGATGCCGTGTTGGGAAAGTCAGAAAAACCTCCTGGAGGGGAACAACGGACCCGCATGTGTTGTCGCCATGAAAACCACACTGAAGTCACAAAGGATGAGGCTGATTCGAAGCGGACTTTTATTATTTGCTAGATTTACATTGGCGTGAGCTTGCGACAAGCCAGAGTGAACAGAAACATTGCAAGAGCTATTGCACGGTTATTTGAATTCCGATTTTAAGAGCCGCCACCCGAGTTAAGATTTCACAAGAAAACGGATGGGAGCTTCCAAATATTAAAAGGAGCAGGTGCCTGATATGGATTCGGGAACGGATGCTATGCTTTTGCAGCTGAGGGCACTGGTAAGAGGTGCGGGGGGAAAAGCAAGAAAACAAGTGTTTTGTGATCCTCTCATCCACCTTCCCATCATTCCAGCCAGCTGGACGTGAGGGACTCGGTTTGCTGCAGTTATCCAACCAAAGGGAAATTTTCATCAGTGATTTCATTTCCCGAAGATGAGAGCTGTCCAGGCAGAATCTAACACCACCCTGGAATCAGGGCAGAGGACTACCAAAACAACGATAAAGTGACAGGGCATGCACAGAACGGAAGGGCTATTCAGACAAGGCTGGATGCTTAGAAGCAGCCATGCGCTCCCTCAAAACCAGGAGGCAGCATCCTGCTTAACCAGTGGCCACAATTGTCAAATTGGGGCGGTTAGATGCCTCGGTCCATCTCTGTGCCTCTTCTGGCTAGCATCACTTAGGACAGGGGTCTCCATCCTTGGGCCACTTGAACATTTGTGGACTTCAATTCCCAAAATTCTTCAGCCAGCTGAGGAACGCTGGGAGTTGAAGTCCGCAAGTCTTCAAGTTGCCACGGTTGGAGATCCCTGACTTAAGATCACCCCAAACCCCATTTTCCAACACGTTTCAAGGAAACTATCATCGGATCAAAGCTGCTTAAAAGGCCCCCGTTCTGAGACTGGGCCCAACTCGGCACACCTTTTTTTTGGGGAAAGCGCCAGTCTCGTTTCAAACTGGAGGCACACGGTTTTTGAGTCGAGATCGCAAGGCTGCGCCTTGAGCCTGCGTTTCAGGCTGCTCCCTCCTCCTGCCAAGGAGGCCAAAGCAGGATTTTAAAGAGAAGAAATTGTGCAAAAAGACAAACCTTCGGGTTTTATTGCTGCAGCGAGGACCACGAACACGGTTCATAGTCCTTTCCTGATTCCGGTTCTGCTTTAGACATCTCTCAAAAAAAAAAGAGAGAGAGAGAGCAGTCTGGACTGCCATGGAAGACTACCTGCACTGAAATTTCTTATCCAGAACTTTACAAGGATGAATCTACCATCTTAGAGTGGCCTTTTGCTCTATATCTGGACCCCTGCGTCACTGCTGGAGATGATCAAGGCAACTGGAATCTGAATAGAAGGAATTCAATCTACTTCCAGCTCCACGACCTCAGGGAGAGCAGGGGGTTTGCTCTGCCTGCAAATGGAGAAGCCCAGCTTTTCAGCAGTCCTTGGGACCAGAGCAGTGGCCTTTTGGGTTGTCCTTTCCATCTTCCGGTGCCTGAACTTGGCTGCGGCTTTTAAGCCCTGGCAATTCGTGCAGAGGCAAAAGACGTTCTAGCTAGGGCCCTAAAATGCAGCGTTTTCTTGATAAAGCAAATCCCACTTCAGTGTTAGCTTAAATGAGGCTCCTTAAAATATTTCTCTTCACACTTTACGCCAGGGGGTCCCCAACCTGCCTGGGCCACGAGGGGGTTTGCAACTGGGCGGCGAGCGCATGCACGCACATCCTCACACGTACGCGAGTGGCGGGCGAGCACGATCCGTGCGCTCCATTTTGTGTTGAGTGGCAGGCGGGTGCGCACGCTGCCCATGGAAATAGAACTGCCTGCGCCCGCTTGCTGGCCGCTTGCCAGATCCCCTCTGCCCACCCCTCCAAGCTGGTCCATAAAGCTAGAAATGTTGGTAAACTCTGGTTTAGGCTACATATGTGGCAGAAAGTCTGTGAAGGGGTACTTTTTTATTATTATTATTATTATTTTCTGACTGTCTGGCAGGCCTTGAACCTGTTGAGGCTTTTCAGACAGCGATATGAGATTGGTATAGATCAGGGTTCCTATTATTAGAAAAAGCCAGGGGAGAAAACAAGCAATCACGCAATCACACACACACACACCCCCACATCACAAAGTATCAAGGGGTTCAAGGCTAAATAACAGGGGTCTTCAAACTTGACTTGTGGACTTCAACTTCCAGAATTCCTCCTCCAGCCATGTTAGCTCGGGAATTCTGGGAGTTGAAGTCCATAAGTCTTAAACTTGCCAAGTTTGAAGGCCCTTGCTAGACAAGATGGTGTTTGTGTAGCCCAGACACTTTGCCACTTTGAAAGAAGGAAGTTGTCTCCGAAACTATTGACAGGCCTGGAGCTTTTGACCTGACCCCTTTAACAAGGTGTTGTAAATTTGCCTAAACCATCATCTGCAAAGAAAAAAAGCTGTAGGAAACAGGACGGGGAGTTTCCTTTCAAGCTCCATGGTTAAGGCTTCCTTGATCATTCATGCAACCTCCCAGTTAATCAAGAGCCATATTGGCTGAAGTGCCAGTAGGGTACAGGACTGGTTCCTTCCGAGCACACGGCACCGATATTTTCGGAGAGCCCAAAATGGGTCATTTCAGCTGAGGAAGGAGCTGGGACCAGCTCAGGTCGGTCTCCAGGTTGTCGTTCCCGGGGTCTGGAAAACTAATGTCTAGCGAGAGCTTGCTCCAATTCTCAGGCATGTTGTCCAAGACGACGTCTTCCAGAAGGGAATTGTCCCCTGCAAACTCACAGGCCACCTTGCTGGATGGAGAAGAAGTGTTCAAGAGCCCAGCGATTATTTCACCCGTGTCTGCGTTCAAAAGGGGGCCCTGGGGAGAATCACCCAGGGATTGTCTCAGCGGGGTCTCATTAAACTCCATATCTAAATTATCCTGGAAGGACAGGAATGGCAAGGGAGAAGATCTTGGGGAACTGAAATCAACCTGGCTCCTTTCGTTGACCGAAGGGGTCAATCTCCACGGGTCAGTAGGTGCCAGGGGCGAAGAGGTGTTTATGGGTGTTTTATTTGGGGTGGAAGCAATCGGCAACCTGCAAGTCACTGGAGGTTCTTCTTCTGGACCACAGACGAGGGTTCCTAGAGGTTCCTCCTGACTGGAAGGACAGTGTCCCATCGGGAAGGAAGTTGAGCCACCACCGAGGGGCAGAAGGAGAACCGGTTCTTCTGAGGAAGAGAGGGCTAAGTGCTGTTTCCTTCTGGATCTACCCAATTCTTGCCTCTTGTTTTCGGGGGATGACCCAAGACCTGTAACCTGTCTCTTTTGTTTTATGGGGGATGCTTGGACACAGAGGGTCTGCTCCTCGCCAGTTCCCGCTGGTTCCTCCTTTACAGGCCATCCTGGGACAAAAGAGGACATCCACTCCTGGGCGTGAAAAACGTCACTCAGAACTCCCGCCAATGGTTTTCCGCTATCTGTACAGCTGCCTTCCTCAAGAGGGCGCCAGAGGGTTAATGAAGAAGACTCTTCACCACAATAGTGTTCCTCCTTTATGGAACTTGGAGGAGGCGACAGGACCGGATCTTCGCTGGAGCGCAGGAGCTGCAAAACCAACGTGGGAAGGAAGAAGCTCAGCAACCGCCTTTGATTTTTAGACATATTCACCTGCGGGTCAGTTATCATTTAGCCATAAAAAATGTATTTTGCCCTCTTAATCTGACCACTGTTCTTAGTCTACATTTATTCAGGCATTAGAGCTGCAGTTTGAGCCAAGAGGGGTCTTCAAAATCTTCTAGGGCAGTGATGGCGAACCTTTTTGTTGTGGTGTGCCGAAAGTGCGCGCGCACCGGCACCCACAATCCAATGTGCCCCACCCTGCGCATGCACGTGCAACAACCCCCCTTACCTGCACTGCGCATGTGCGTGCCTCCCAGCTGATTTTTGGCCCGTTTGAGGCTGTTTTCGCCCTCTCGGAGGCTCAAGGGAAGCCTCTGCAGCCTTCCGAAAATACCGGAAGTGCTGAAACGGGTTGTTTTTCGGCCTCCAAAGGTTGCAGAGGCTTCCCTCGAGCCACTGGGAGGGCAAAAACAGCCTCCTCCGGGCTCCAGAGGCCCTCCGGAGGCTGAAAATGGGCACTTCTGGTATTTCGGAAGACCTGTTTTTTGGCCTCCCGAGGCTGCAGAGGCTTCCCTCGAGCCTCCCGGAGGACGAAAAAGACCTCAAACAGACCAAAAATCAACTGGGAGGCACGCGCATGCACAGTTAAGTTTGGCTGGGGCTTGTGTGCCCGCACAAATGGCTCTGCATGCCACCTCTGCGTACCACCATAGGTTCGCCATCACGGTTCTAGGGAATCTATACATGGGCCACAGATCCTGTAGAGGGCGTCCTCAACTTACGACCACAATTGAGCCCAACATTTCTGTTGCTAAGCGAGACTGTTAAGTGAGTTTTGCCCCATTCTACAATCTTACTGTTCTGACCTAGGCTTCCCCGAAAAGCACTAAGCAGACTCTTTGACCCGGCAAAACCCCTTTTATTAAACAAAGGTGAATTTCTTGCATTCATTCAGCCAAAGAGCTAGCAAACAGTCTTTCAAGGTGTAATTAGGAGCACAGACCTGATCTACCTTGGAGAGCTGCCAAGTAAATATTTTCAAATGCAGTGCTGACAAGGAAGGACTCAGCACAGAGTCTCTGAGATACACAGACAGAGCTTCTCTGAACACTATGACCTACAATGGGCAGGGGAAATAAACCTACTTCCTGCCAAGGTCTTCCTCAGTTCCCAGGGACACCGACTCCTGTCTAAGCTCCTTAGAGACACATCAGGGTTGTGTTTGACCTCAGGCGGGAGGCTGGGTGTGTGTGGCCAGACTGACGTCACTTGTGTCGGGGGCACCTGTGGTGGCCCGGGTGGGGCTGGGGGAATCCATTGTCTTCCCAGGCTCCGTTTTTGGCTACGACGGCCTCCTGCAGCCCTCTGCCAGCGAAAATTAGCCTGGGAGGGCCACACACACGCTCCTCCCAAGCTCCGTTTTCGCCATCGCTGCTGAAAACAGAGCTCGGGAGGGCCAGATGCAGCCCTCTCGAGCTCCATTTTTGCTGGCAGTGGCACTGTGGGCCGGCCCTTCACTGTTTCCAGGGTGGTCCAATGGGGGCCAGATCCAGCCTGCGGGACTTGAGTTTGACTCCCCAACCCAGACAAACACGCACCCGAGAAAAACGAGACGTGGGAGACTGACCTTCGGTGCAGGGCGCTCCCCTGTATTGATCTGCGTGGTCCCCAAAGTAGTCGGGCCTGCAGGCAGAGGTAGCCTTGAAGGCAACTGAAGATGAAATGGCTCGCTTGCCGGGAAGTGGACCGGAACCAAGTAGGAACTGACCCGTGGCAGCAAGGGCTTAATCCTCGGCCCTAAGAAAGAAAAACTTTGTTGTCAGCCTCAAAGCCAAGAAGGACACGTCTCGCAACTCTTCCAAGCCGAGTTTTTTTATTGTATCCACACCTGTAGACAGAATCTTGCCAGACTAAACACTCTACTATCCGCATCTACAACATTGCTATGTGGATTACAGGAAGCCCTCCATTTACAACAGTTCGTTTAGAGACTGTTCAAAGATACAACGGCACTAAAAAATGTGACTTATGACCAGTTTTCAAGCTTACGACCGTCACAATATCCCCATGGTCATGTGCTCAAAATCCAGACACTCAGCATCTGATTCATATTTATTACCTTTGCAGACCTGGGGTCATGTGATCCCCTTTTACGACCTTCTGACAAAGCAAAGTCAACGAGGAAAGCCAGGTTCACTTAGCAACCGTGTCACTAACTTCACCACAGTGATTCATTTAACAACGGTGGTAAGAAAGATCATAAAAATTGGGGCAAAACTCACTTAACAAATGTCTCGCTTAGCAACAGAAAGATTGGGCTTGATTGTGGTCCTAAGTCGAGGACTACCTGCATTAGGAAGGAGCTGTCTTCACCCTCCTTCTCTCACATATGATATCTACAACTGAGTTGCCTCTTACGCCTCCGGAATGCAGCCCCTCCCTCCCCTGGAATCCATCTCCTTGCTACATTCCACCTTCAGGTAATCCTCAACTTACGACCACAATGGAGTCCAAAATTGAGATGTCAGCCTTCCCAAATGGACCAGACAGGAAATAGGACCAGATGAGCTAAAATTGTAAGGCGGCATTAACAAAATCTTGCAAGTCTGAAAGCACAAATCATCTACTGTCTTTTTTTACAGCTGTTGTTAGGGACGATCCCAATGATTTTCTTTTACTCTACCTGTTATACAGTTGCAGGCTCCGTCTCTCTTATCTAATGATTCCCTAGACAGCGGCTCTCCTCCCTGTTGCAGTTTCCCAAGCTCATTCCTATATACCCGTGATGGCAAACCTATGGCACACATGCCACAGGTGGCACGCAGAGCCATCTCTGTGCGCACATGAGCCATCGCCTCAGCTCAGCTCTAAGATGTATGTGTGCGCAGCTCCCGCCAGCCAGCTGATATTTGGGCCTCTGCCGCGGATGCGTGGGGGGCAGGGGGCATGCAAGAAACGCGTGTGCATGCACAGAGGACAAGGGGAGTGCGGCGGGGGTGCGGCGCCGCCCATTTTTGCTCCCAGGAGGCTGCAGGGAGGCCTACTAGGCCCAAAACGGGGCAAGCGGAGTGGGTGTGCGGTGCAGCTCCCCCGCTGCCCATTTTGGCTCCCAGGAGGTCTACTAGGTCCAAAACAGGGCACGGAGGGTCGCACGCACATGTGTGGGCGGTGTGGGGAGTGCAGGGGAGTGTCTTGCGCATGCACAGGGGGAGCAAACACATGCGCAGGGGACTGGGGCGAGCAGGAGGGGGTCGCATGCGCATTGCATTATGGGTGCAGGCACACGCATGCTCTGTCACGCACGCATGCGCGTGCTTTCGGCACGCAACGACAAAAAGGTTAGTCATCACCGCTATATACCATTACAGTGATGCGTTTCCTATCAGCCAAATGGCTGCCATTTGCTTCCTCCAATGACCGGCGTGGAGTAGGGTTCACCAGGACACACCTATACTTACGGGAAGTCTGGGACTCCGCTTTGGTGACTTTCAAGTTCTTCTGCAGATCTAGAGTTGGACGCTTCTGCTGCTGCAATTCAAGAAAATAAAGAAAGTTAGGGTCCAACGGCCAAGGATTTATGGAAGGTAAAGCAGCGTGTGGATTTGATACAGGACTGGGGAGCTGGCCGTGTGCTGCAGCTGCCAAAAAAGCCAAAACAGTCCACATCTGCATTAACAAAGGGATAGAATCAAGATCACAAGAAGTGTTAATACCACCTTATATTGCACTGGTAAGACCACACTTAAAATGTTGCATCCAGTTTTGGTCGCCACAATATAGAAAAAAAGATGTTGAGACTCTGGAAAGAGTGCAGGGAAGAGCAACAAAGAGGATTAGGGGACTGGAGGCTAAAACATATGAAGAACGGTTGCAGGAACTGGGTATGTCTAGTTTAATAAAAAGAAGGACTGGGGTGACATGATAGCCGTGTTCAAATATCTTGACCCAAAGAAAAGAAGGGGAGTCAACCTATTCCCCAAAGGCAGAAGAAACAAAGGATAGAAACTAAGCAAAAGAGGGAAGCCACCTGGAATTAAGCAGAATTTTCCTGACAGTGAGAACAATTACTCAGCAGAACCATTTGCCTCCAGAAGTTGTGGTCCCGCCAGTCGTTGCAACTACCAGAAGTGTAGGTGGTTGCAAAGAGATTGAAACGGTATAGGGTTTCCCTACTTGAGCAGGGGTTGAACTAGAAAAACCTCCAAGGTCCCTTCCAACACTGTTGTTTTGATCTGCCTTTTACTGGCAGATCAGACCTTCCATCTCTTCTTCACAGAGCAAAAGGTGACTCTCACTGGAAGGTTAGCCTTAGGAAAGAATACTACCTCAGTGGCCTCAAACATTTGGGCCTCAGGGACCGGTTGCATGGAGAGAGGTTTTACTACGGACCAGAGGAGGTGTGGTTTCGTGTGCCACCTGCATCCCATGGATGGGGCTTCGCTTGTTTCTGTTGTGGCTGCTACCGGTTCGCACCGATTCGAGCGAACCAGATGTTAATTTTACATCTGGTTCGCCGAACTGGTAGTTGCAACGACTGGCTGGCCCCGCTTACCTCCACCCCTCCCAGGAGTCTCCACGCGGCCCGTTTTGAATCTCAGGTAAGTGCAGGGCCCGCGTGGAAGTTCAGGGAGGGCGAAAAACAGGCCTCTCAGAGGCTCCAGGAGGCCAGAAATGGGCCTGTTTCCGACTTCCAGAGAGCCTCTGGAGCCCGGGGAGGCCGTTTTCGCCCTCCTGGAGGCTCGAGGAAAGCCTCCGGAGCCAGGGAGGGAGAAAACGGCCCCCTGCCATCAGGGGTGGAATTCAAATTTTTTAACAACCGGTTCTGTGGGCGTGGCTTAGTTAGTGGGCATGGCTTGGTGGTCATGTGACTGGGTGGACATGGCTTCATGGTCATGTTATTGGCTGGGCGTGGCCAACTCAATATCACTCACATCAAGGCATGCATCTCCTCACCTGGCCTCTCATGACTGTGGGGATGCTGCAACAGTCATAAGTGTGAAAAATGGTCATAAGTCACTTTTTTCAGTGCCACTGTAACTTTGAATGGTCACTCCACACAAGCAAAGTACCAGCAAAAGAGGGGGAAAAAAACTCCAGAGACGTTCCTGAGACAGGAAGTCTAGTCCTGCCAAGAATGTAATAAGGGTTAACGGAGAGGCAGTTTCTGTAAGCAACACCAGAATGTTTCCTTCCTGCCTTCCTTACAGGATTAGGCCAGTAATTCTTCTAATAACCGATTCTCCGAACTGCTTAGAATGTTAACAACCGGTTCTAGCGAATAGGTGCGAACTGGTAGAATCCCACCACTGCCTGCCGTGGTGCAGGAGGCCGACTAGGCCACGCCCACCCAGCAACCGGGCAGAGAATCCACTGCTAAATTTTTTGAAGCCCACCCCTGGATCAGTCCTACTGATCAATGCACAGCCCATAATCCAGAGCTTGAGCAACGTGTCTTGCCAATTCAAATCAGGCTTGGCTGTCCTCACAATACTCATCCTTTGGGCTATTCTGCCTGACCCTTCAGGGTGAGAAAGATTTGGACAGAACACAGGAAATATTGCAGCTTTTTCCTGGCAGGAGAGCTGGAGCTGCAGATCCGGGGAGGAACCGCAAGATTTTTATATACCTTTTCTGATGTTTAAGGATCTTTCTAAAGGCAGCAACCCTGATGTGTTATTGCCACTTCGGGTTCAAAAGAAAGAAAAAGGGATGGAGATAATATTTGACTTACAACCATTTGTTTAGTGGCCATTCTAAGTTGTAACGGCACTGGAAAAAAACATTTTTCTCACCATGTCGCCTCCCCATGGCCACATGATCAAAATTCACTGGCCATCTATTTATGTCCCGGGATCATGTGATCCAGGATGGATAAAATATCAATGATTTTTTTAAAAAATTTTTTTTTAAAAACCCAGATTTTTTAAAATTTAAATCTGATTTTTTTTAAAAATTTAAATCGGATTTTGTTTTATTTTTATCAAATTTATTTTAATAAAATGCTTTTGGGGTAAAAAAAAAAATCTATCTAAAGATAGCTTTCTATTTAAGATACATTAATAATTTAGTTTATTCAGCATGAAATGGAGCTTAGTTATGTAGCACAAAGCTGCATAGTCTGCAGTATTTACAATTTTTTGGCAAACTCATTCCATGAATCCAGGCTCTGCAAGCTGAGATAACATGCACCGCCTTGATGCATTCACCTAATTTCACAGTAACCATGAAATAAATCATAAAACGAAGTTCAGGAATATTCCTTTAACCCATTGTTTTGCAAATCTAGGTACACTACAAATTGTATGGTTGTTTGAAGAGAAATGCATATGTGCCCCCAGACTCTTAAGTCTGTGGAGGAAGGACAAGCAGCAAAAATGAACGTGAAACCTAAGAAACTTAGAAGTTTGGAAACACTTAAAACTGTAGAAATGGTGGTAGACTTTAGGAGAAACCCTCCCATACCACCACCTCTTACAATACTAGACAACACAGTATCAACAGTCGAGGCCTTCAAATTTCTAGGTTCTATCATATCACAAGACCTAAAATGGACACCTAACTTCAAAAACGTCATCAAAAAAGCACAACAAAGAATGTTCTTTCTGCGCCAACTTCAGAAAGCTCAAACTGCCCAAGGAGCTGCTGATCCAGTTCTACAGAGGAATGATGGAGTCTGTCATCTGCACCTCTATAACAGTCTGGTTTGGTTCTGCAACCAGCAAGACAGACACAGACTTCAGAGGATAATTAGGACTGCAGAAAAAACAATTACTACCAACCTGCCTTCAGTCGAGGACCTGTATACTGCACGAGTCAAAAAGAGGGCTGTGAAACTATCTACAGACCAGTGGTGGAATTCAAATTTTTTTACTACTAGTTCTGTGGATGTGGCTTGGTGGGCGTGGCAGGGGAAGGATACTGCAAAATCTCCAATCAGAGGTAGTAGTATTTGCTGGTTCTCTGTACTACTCAAAATTTCCGCTACCGGTTCTCCAGAACTGGTCAGACCCTGCTGAATTCCACCTCTGCTACAGACCCCTCACATTCTGGACATAAACTGTTTCAACTCCTACCCTCAAAACGACGCCATAGAGCACTGCACACCAGCACAACTAGACACAAGGACAGGTTTTTTCCTGCACGCCATCACTCTGCTAAACAAATTCCCTCAACACTGTCCAACTATTTACAAAGTCTGCACAACGATTACTGCTAATCTTCTCATCACTTCTTATCACCCATCCCCTGCCACTTATGACTGTAACGTTGTCGCTTGTATCCTTAGGATTTATACTGACTGTTTCCCAGTATGATTTGATTGCTTACTGTACCTTATGACTATTATTAAGTGTAGTACCTTATGATTCTTGACAAATGTATCTTTTTTTTATGTACACTGAGACCAAACAAATTCCTTGTGTGTCCAATCACACTTGGCCAATGAAGAATTCTATTCTATTCTGTCCCATTCTAATCAATATATTAAAGAGCACCTGTCATTTCAGATCCACCATGGCAGCGCGTTAGTAGGCATCCACTCACCTGCTGCCTGCCACATCCCTCACCTTGTTGTCACTACCGCATCTCCAAGCGTCCCATTAAAGGGAATGGGACGGTCGGTGAGTCAACAGTAGGTCAGAGGAGGAGCCACTGCGGGGCAGAGATCACAGCTGCTCTTTAAAAATTATGATTTAAATCGAGTTGATTTTAAATCTAATCCACCCTGATGCGATCCCCGTTTGTGTCCTACTGACGAGTAAATTCCACGGGGAAGCCAGATTCACTTAACAACGAGACCGTGTTGCTAACTGAACAACTGCAGTGATTCGCTTAGCAACGGTGGCAGGAAAGGTGGTAAAATGGAAAATTCACTGAACAACTATCTCGCTTAGCCAGGGAAGTTTCCAGGCTCAATTGTGGTCATAAGTCAAAGACTAGCTAAATCTTTGGGTTCCTAAAGGATCATAGATTTATACTCCTTGCAGGCAGCCAAGGACAGGAATCGGCAACCCAGCATCTGCATTTAAAAGACAAAAGGCCACTTCTTTTGAAAGACAGCAAAGTCCACATTTTGCACAGAGAGGACCTCTGGTTTGAAAGACGGGTCAAAGAGGCCATCTAGATCAAACCCAAAAGTGCTTTTTTTCCAAGAGGCAATGGGACTTTCTTGTTTTTCTTTGAAGACATTTCGCTTCTCATCCAAGAAGCTTCTTCAGCTCTGACTGGGGTTTTAGTGCCCATAACCAGACACGCACTAAGCAATGTGGTATGTGCAGTACAATGCAGTGAGCCACGTCCAGTGCTGTACATTTGGGGAAACGAAACAACCACTTCACAAACGCATGGCACAACATAGGAGAACAAACCCACCAGGACGAGATTCAGAAGTCCATCTGCATTTAAAAGACAAAGGGCCACTCTTTTGAAGACAGCAAAGTCCACATTTTGGAAAGAGAGGACCACGGGTTTGAAAGAGGGGTCAAAGAGGCCAATCTGTGTCAAAATTGAACAGCCCTCCACAGAGGGGGAGGGATACGACATCCTCTATCTCCAATCTACAACACCGTCCTTTCAGCAGCTCCAAGAAGGCTCTCCACACCCATTTGCACCGTTTAAGTGAGACCCTGAGGACACAGACAAGCCTCCAGGTGGCCTCAACGGCTCTCTAAAAGGATGCAAATGACCCAAGGAGTGTAAATCCTTCCATTCCCCCCTCCATCCAGCCAGAGCTGAAGAAGCTTCTTGGATGAGAAGCGAAACATCCTCAAAAGAAAAAAAAAACAGAAAGTCCAGTTGCCTCCTGAAAAAGCACCTTTGGGACAACCATGAAACTGGATTGTCGGAGTATATTCATGAACTGGAATAGAGCATTGGTAACCAGGTCAGTCAATGAATAGGCATAGCAACTAAGTCAGCCAATGAGGACTGTTTGGAAACTGAAGCTAGAAGTAGCCTAGGCGTGGCTCTATATTAAGATCTGAGTCTGTCTATTGAAGATGAAACTGCTTCTCTCCTCTGCTGCGTAACAAACTAACTTGCTTGTCGGCCGAAGTTGAGTTGCTTCTCCGTTCTGAACCTGTGACATGTCTGCTTCTGTTTTGAGTTTGCTCCATGTTGGAGAAATCTACAACTGGTATTGTAAAATTTACTTCCTGTGTTTATAAAGAAGTTCAATGAAGCCTCAGTCATCTGTGTTTACTTTTCTGGTGCTGAATTTACGCTGCAAAACTCTGAACATGGACGACTGAGAATCTCCATAGGCACCAGATCTATGAATTTCCACCCTGGAGAAAAAGAAAGATGGAGACTGTTGATTCTCGTCCAATGAAAAGAGGCAGGGATGGTTTGTCATTCTGAATGGTTAAGAGGGACCTCGTCTCCTCTCAGTCTCCTGCCCAGGGATTTGTCTGACTCAGTCTGTTATCTGATACCATTTCTCTAATCACCAAATTCGCCTTGTCATGGGGATTAAATTTGGATGGGTCTCAATAATGCTGAAGCCTCATTTTGGAAGGTCAAGATCCTCCTTGCCACTTTGACTATTGCCACGAGACACAGCACTTTTACAAAAAAATAATTTCTAAAAGACGGCGACCAAGACTATAAATAGATTTTTCTCCAAAGTCTTTGAAATTGTGCCCAAGTCATGCTCCTAAGGGAGTTCTTACAAGGGAACTCAGTATAATAAAAAGACCACCCTGGAAAAAAGGGCTATCCGGGGTTGATGGCTTCAGAAATGCACCTTTGGAATAGAATAACAGAGTTAGAAGGGTCCTTGGAGGTCTTCTAGCCCAACCCTCTACTCAGGCAGAAAAAAATCAAGGACTACATGTACACATCTACCTGAGCCTTGCATCCACATTCATTCACCTTGCCCTTAGTCTCCAACAGGTGTTGGCTGTCAACATGCCCCCTCTTCACTTAGATAAAAGTCTGTCGCTTTAGCTACTAAAATTGTAGGGACACCAAGCAATGGGAAGGTTCCTTCCCTGCCTGGTGCTTACCTTGAACACCTGGTCCAGCGTCAGGTAGCGGTTTGCTTCAGGATGAATGGTCCAGAATGCAATTTTCCCATTGGCGGATGTCTCCCGAACAAACATGTCATGAAGGGAAAGGTTGTGACGGATGGAGTTCTGCATTGCAAAGATAAAACGTTCGTTACTTCCAGTCGCCAAAAAATAAAAATAAAAAAGGTAGCCAGGTTCGGAGGGAAAGAAGTACGTAAAGGTGAAGCAATGCGATTCCCCACACTGTGGGGTCCTTGGGGGCCTCTGAGCTTGGCTGCTTTCTGGTAGGCGTCTCGTTACCCAAACTAGGTAACATCATCAGTGCTAGAAGGAATAGGGTTTGAGGAATGATGATGATGGAGGAGAAGCAGGAGGAGGAGGAGCAAGAGGAGGAAGGCTGAGGGGTCCTTGTTGCTCTCCGAGCTTGGTTGCTTTCTAGCAGACGTCTCATTACCAAACTAGGTAGCACCATCAGTGCTACAAGGAATGATGGAGGAGGAAGAGGAGAAGGAGGGGGGGCTGTGGTTGCTTTCTTGCAGACATCTCATTGATAAACTGGCTAACATAATCAGTGCTAGAAGGGAATAGGGTTTGAGGAAAGGAGGAGGAGGAGCAGGAGGAGGGGGGCTGTAAGGTCCTTGGTGGTCTCTGAGCTTGGTTGCTTTCTTGCAGACATCTCATTACCAAACTAGGTAATATCATCAGTGCTAGAAGGGAATAGGGTTTGAGGAATAATGGAGGAGGAGGAGGAGAGTGGGGTATGTGGGGTCCTTGGTGGTTCTCTGAGCTGGGTTGCTTTCTGGCAGACGTCTCGTTACCAAACTAGGTCACATCATCAGTGCACTGATGGGGTTATTTTGGCAATGAAGCGTTTCCAAGAAAACAACCAAGCTCAAAGTGCACTAAGTTCAAATCTGATCTATAAATATTCTCTTCTTGCTTTCATGGCTCGTAGCCTATGGTACCGGATGGATGGAATATGAAAGAGAACAGTTAATATACCCGCTAGAGAGTGGGTCAAGAAAGGAGAAAGAAAGGATGAGAAGAGAGAGAGGTCAGATGTAAAATTATTTTAGAAGTGGGACATAAAAGAGGCAGAATCACTTGCAACAGGCTGTGTTTGACCTCAGAGGGCCCCCGATGCAGGCCTCGTGTTGGAGGCACCTGTTGTGGCTAAGTGCTAATGCAGGGTCTTCCCTGAGACGCTCACTCACTCTCATTATAATCTATCTTCCTTCCTTCCTTCCACCCACCCACCCCTGTTCTAAATGAATTTCTGTTCAGCAGTTTTTGCAAAGCGGGCCTTCAGGGCTATTTTTCTTCCTCAACAGCCATTTCAAGACCAGAGCCTGTTGGGAATTGAAGCGCCAGGGGATAAACATTTATGCTCTCGGGGTTTTACTCCATTTTCCTGTTGAATGGAGATTGGTCCTGCCTACTGTAAAGGATATAGGGAGGCTGGGAGGAGATGGATGATGGCAAATCTTACACTGGAGGACGAAGATATGATGTTAGCAGCTCCCAGAGTGGCACTATCTCGAAATGGATATTCTTTTACAGGTTCTTGGAGGCAGCGAAGCCATCTGGATCGTTTGCTGGTCCGTATCGCTGCGAGAATAGCCTCTTGCCGGTTGAATTATTGAGGAAGACCCGAGCAAGATTTCAATGTTTTATTTATTCATTTCTGTTCTGATTTAGGAAAAAGCTACCCCCTGCACACTCGAGGTCCCCAGGCAGTAAGTTTATTCCACCCATCCCTAAAACTGAGTCTGCAAAAAAAAAATTGGTTGCAAAATCTCAGAGTATTGTTTCTCAGCCGTGGCAGCCTGAAGATGGCTGGGCTTCAAATCCCAAAATTCCCCAGTTAAGTATGCTATGCTGGCTGGGGACTTCTGGGAGACTGAACTCCCCTCATCTCCAAGTTGCCAGGGTTGAAAAAAAAACTATCTAAGGGATGTTCTAAAGATGCTATTTCAAGAGGCAACTAGGCTTTCTTGTTTTTTCTTTTGAAGACATTTCACTTCTAATCCAAGAAGCTTCTTCAGCTCTGACTGGATTTTTAAAAAAAAAAGAAAAAAAGAAAGTCCAGTTGCCTCCTGAAAAAGCACCTTTGGGAAAACCATGACCAGGATGATGGAGAATATCTACAGACTGTACAATTTGGGATGTTTAGCTGTACAATTTGGGATGAACACCCTTGGAATGGCGTGGAAGTCGGAATGGATTTCCAGAGGAGAAATTACAGCCTACAGAAGCCAGAAGCACCACTCAGGTGACTCTGAGGACACAGATAAACCTCCAAGCAGCCTCATCGACTCTCTAAAAAGAATGCAAATGACCAACTGTCTGCAAGGAATATAAATCCTTCCATTCCTCACTATCCTGTCAAAGCTGAAGAAGCTTCTGGGATGGGTAGCGAAATGTCTTCAAAAGAAAAACCAGAAAGTCCAGTTGCCTCCTGAAAAACAAGCACCTTTGAGATAACCATGACCTGGATGGCTGAGAATCTCTATAGACTTTTAGCTATACAATTTGGGATGAACTCCCTTGGAATGGTGTAAGAGTAGGAATGGATTTCCAGAGGAAAAAAATGCAGCCTACAAGAACCAGGAGCACTAACTCAGGTGACCCAACCTCCAAGTGGCCTCAATGACTCTCTAAAAAGGACGAGTATAATTCCTTCCATTCCCTACCATCCTGTCAGAGCTAAAGAAGCTTCTGGGATGGGAAGCAAAATGTCTTCAAAAGGAAAAAACAAGAAAGTCCAGTTGCCTTCTGAAAAAAGCATTTTTGGGGGTCTCTTGCACTAGCAAAATAATTGTGTCACCACGTGCTTCAACGAACCGCTAAAACAGAGGTGTCAAACACAAGGCCACACGGGACAGATCTGACCCATGGGGCCGGCCTGGAAAATGTAAGGGCCCAGCCTGCGTCGCTTCGGCCCGGCCTACCCAATGCGAAGGGCAAACATGCCAGCAGTTTGGGGAGTGGTGTCAAGCTGGCCACGCCCACCCAGTCGGCCACACCAAGTTGTGATTGTAAGCCAAGGACTACCTGTATTGTACAAAAAAAACTGCCCAATCACACTTGGCCAATAAAGAATTCTATTCTATTCTATTTTAATAACATTTTATAATACTACTCATCATCTTTTCCAATATGTTTTTTTTTTACAGTTCAAAAGCTGTCTTACCTTCCAGCCTGGCTTGGCAACATGCTTGAAATAGGGGAAATTATCCTCGATCCAGGTGTAGATGTCTTTCAGCATCATGCGCTTCTTCTCGGTGCTGTTAATGGCGAACTGGATCATGGCCATGTAAGAGTACGGGGGCCGTTCAGAAAAGGATTCCTTCCACAAAGCAGAAGAGACGGTGGCGGCTGTGGGACTCCCCTCAGACTGGAATAGGGGAAGAAAAGAAAAAATCAAAATTAAGAAAGGAAAGGCATCGTACAAAAACCCTCTGCAATAAAGGGATACAAATGACCAGCTGTCTCCAAAGAATATAAACCCTTATATCAGTGGTGGCTAATCTTTTTGGGCTCCTGTGCCAAAAATTGTGTGCGCTCGCGCTCGTGCACTCATATGCCAGCACCCAGAAGGCATTGCACGCACCCCCCATGCCCCTGCGCAAGTGCATGCAATCCCCCCATTGCTGCTCCCTTACCTGCGCTGCACCTCCCAGCTGATTTTCAGCCCGTTTGAGGCCTTTTTCGGCCTCCCAGAGGCTTGAGGAAAGCTTCTGCAGGCTGAAAAATGGACCCATTTCGTCACTTCCAGTATTTCTGGAAATACAGGAAGTGACGAAACGGGCCTATTTTTTGGCCTGTAAAGGCTTTCCTCAAGCCTCTGAGAGGCTGAAAAAGGCCTCAAACAGGCCAAAAATCAGCTGTGAGGCACGCGCATGTGCAGTGAGGTAAGTTTGCCTGGGGCTCGCGTGCCCGCATAAATGGCCCTGCATACAACCTGTGAAACACATGCCATAGGTTTGCCATCACACCTCCCAACTGATTTTTGGGGCTTTTTCGGCCTGCCAGAGGCTTGACAAAAGCCTCTGTAGGCTTTGTAGGAGTAAAAATAGGCCCGTTTTATCATTTCCTGCATTTCCGGAAATACCGGAAGTGAGGAAATGGGCCCACTTTTCGACCTGCAAAGCCTGCAGCAGCTTTCCTCAAGCCTCTGGCAGGCCGAAAAAACCTCAAACGGGATGAAAATCAGCTGGGAGGCGCAGTGCATGTAAGGGGGCAGCGTTGGGGGGGGGGGAATTGCACATGCATGTGCAGGGGGCATGGGGGGGCTGTGTGCATTATTTTCTAGGTGCTGGCACGCGAGTGCGCAATTTTTGTCACAGGAGCCCAAAAAGGTTAACCACCACTGATTTAGGGCAACTCCCTCCCACCGTAACAGATATTAAAACATTCTTCACTGTACCCAAGGTACTTTTTTTAAAGAGCCATCTGGACTGTTATAAGTCGGGGACTGTATAAAGTTGCAAGTTTGCAGAACATTGATGACTGTTATCATGGAAAATGCCACCAAAATCGTTCTGGTCCACATGTTCAGTGAAGAAAAGGCATCCATTTTGTCTCCACGGGTCTTAAATTTTCCCATCTGCAATTCCCCCCCCCCACCAATTTGGCAGATGTATATTAATTTTTCTTTTCTTTTCCCCAATTGAGAACAGCTCAACCGCTTCCCACCTAGAGCAATTGTTCCACGCATAATTCACGGTCTTGTATCTACCCTTTTAACTTTCTAAAGATACCGGCCTACGTGGTGGATGTGCTCTTTGTGAAGACACGCTCAGGTGATTGGAAATTTTGAGTCATCCTGCCATATTATGACAATACTATTCGAAAGCCTGACTCACTGAGGATCCTTCACAGGGGCTTATGAAACGGCAAGGAATGGGTAGAAAGAGAGCGGATTAACGGAGTTGGAAGGGACCTTGGAGGTCATCTAGTCCAACCCACCTGCTCAGGTCAGAAAACCTGTACCATTTCGGACAAATGGTACTCCAATCTCATCTTAAAAACGCCTTTAAAGAAAAAAGAAAAGAGCAATGAGGATGATTCTGGGATCCTCGGCTCTTCAGAATTCCATTAATCAGTTGGGTATCAAAAGTTTTTTATTAGTTTATCAGAATATAAAATATGAAGGAAAATGAAAATAAAGGGAAACTAGGGAAGGGGAAAGTGAGGAGGAGGGGGGAGGAGAAGAGGAGAGGAGGAGGAGGAGGAGAAGGAAAAGAAGAGGAGGAGAGGGGAAGAAGAGGAGGAGGAGAAAGAGAAAAGACATGGACTTCCGAGTCTTTTTAGCACAGAAGACAACAACATTAGAGTCTCAACTTTTTACTTTTGCATTAATACGGGTAGTCCTCAACTTACATCACTGCAGTTGTTACATTAGTGACAGAGTTGTTAAGTGAATTTAGCTTCCTAGTGATGTCACTTGTCATAGTCGCAAAAGGGGATCACATGACCCCGGGAACACTGTGACTGTCATAAACACGAATCGGTTGCCAAGCATTTGAATTTTGATCACATGGATATTGCAACGGTTGTAAGGGGGGGGGGGGGAGAGGAAGCCAGGCATAAATCATTTTTTAAAAGTGCCGTTGTAGCTTTGAACGGTCATTAAACGAACTGACATAAGTCAAGGACTACCTGTGCAGGCAACTGCTGTGCTTGGCTTGTCAGCTGGTCTCTTAGAAAGTGGCAAGGGGCTGTTCTTCTCATGACATTAACCTGACACCCCTCAGACAGCAGGAGTGGGATTCTACCGGTTCGCACCGGTTCGGGCGAACCAGATGTTAAAGCCAACCCCGCTCCACCCCTCCCCGGAGTCTCCACGTGGCCCATTTTTGATGCAGGTAAATGCAGAATCCACGCAGAGGCTTTGGGAGAGGGGAAGATGGGCCTTCCAGAAGTCCGGAAACCAGCCTGTTTCCGGCTTCCAGAAGGCCTCCGGAGCCCGAAGGAGGCCTTTTTCGCCCTCCCAGAAGCCTAAGGGAAGCCTCCGGACCCTTGGAAAGGCGAAAAATGGCCCTACCGGAAGTAGCAGAAGTCGCAAAACGGGCCTGTTTCCGGCTTCCGGAGGGCCTCCAGAGCCCAGGGGAGGCCATTTTTGCCCTCCCAGAGGCCTGAGGGAAGCCTCCGGACCCTAGGAAAAGCGAAAAACGGCCCTCCCAGAAGTTCCGGTAGGCCACCCAGCAACTGGGCGGCGAACCAGTTGCTGGGATTCTTGAATCCCGCCCCTGATCTAGAGTCATATGCATGTATGCCCCGTGAAACCTCCAGTCTCGCAGAAGCTTCATGCTTAGTAAGCAGGGTGGATTTGAGTTAATATCAAGCCGATGGAAATCATGATTTAAATCCCTAGTAAAAAGGCTTGCTTGAAGTCAGCTCAATTTAAATCATAATTTTTAAAGAGCAATTGTCATCTCTGTCCCGCAGTGGCTCCTCCTCTGACCTGCTATTGACTCACCAACCATCCCATCCACTTTAATGGGACGGTTGGAGATGCGGCAGTGACACAAGGTGAGGGACATGGCAGGCAGCAGGCTACAGATTAACAGAGTTGGAAGGGACCTTGTAAGTCATCTAATCCACCCCCCACCCCCCCACCCCGCTGCCATGATGGATCTGAAATGACAAGCGCTTTTTAATATATTGATAAGCTGCTTAGAAGGTTTCACTTTCATTTTTACCACTTGCCCTTCCTCCATTTCTCTTCAAACAACCATACAATTTGTAGTGTACATAGATTTGTAAAACAACAGGGTAAAGGAATATTCCTGAACTTCTTTTTATGGTTTATCTCATGGTTACTGTGAAATTGTGTGAATCCATCAATGCGGTGCAATTTTATCTCAGCTTGTACAACCTCGATTCATGGAATGAGTTTACCAAAAAATTGTAAATACTGCAGACTATGCAGCTTTGTGCTACATAACTAAGCTCCATTTCATGCTGAATAAACTAAATTATTAATGTATCTTAAATAGAAAACTATCTTTAGTTACCGATAGATTTTTTACCCCAAGAGCATTTTATTAAAATAAATTTGATAAAAAAAATTAAAAATCTAATTTCAAGCAAAACATATTTTTAATCCACCTTGTATGTAAGGCTCTTTGGCCCTTCTGCTTACCTTAATTGTCTTCTGTTTGGGGGTCTGGTTTTCCTTCTCCGTGTCTTTTTTCATGCTACAGGAGCTGAGTGGGGTTGAAGTCATCTTCCCCAACCAATGGATGTTGGTCAGGCTGCTGTTCAGGCCAGAGTTGGCTGCCTCCTCACTGCCTACATGGATGCAAACTCGGAGTTTTTAGATTGAATGTGTAGATCCTTCAAGAGGGAGCTTGAATTTTTGCCTTTCGGCAATAAGAGGTTGAGTATAACTGTGACAGGGATCTTGGCATCCTAGTGGACAATCATTTAAATATGAGCCAGCAGTGTGCAGCAGCTGCCAAAAAAGCCAATGCAATCCTAGGCTGCATTAGTAGAGCGATAGAATCAAGATCCTGTGAAGTGTTAATACCACTTTATAAGGCCTTGGTAAGGCCACACTTGGAATGCTGCATCCAATTTTGGTCACCACGATGTAAAAAAGACGTTGAGACTCTAGAAAGAGTGCAGAGAAGAGCAACAAGGATGATTAGGGGACTGGAGGCTAAAACATGAAAAATGTTTGCGGAAATTGAGCATGTCTAAGTTTAATGAAAAGGATTAGGGGAGACATGATAGCAGTGTTCCAATATCTCAGGGGCTGCCCCAAAGAAGAGGCAGTCAAGCTATTCTCCAAAGCACCTGAAGGCAGGACAAGAGGCAATGGGTGAAAACTAATCAAGGAGAGAAGCAACTTAGAACTAAGGAGAAATTTCCTGATAGTTAGATCAATTAACCAGTGGAACAACTTGCCTCTAGAAGTTGTGAATGCTCCAACTCTGGAAGTTTTTAAGAAGAGATTGGACAACTCTTTGTCTGAAATGGTGTAGGATTTCCTGCCTGAGCAGGGGGTTGGATTAGAAGACCTCTAAGGTCCCTTCCAATTCTGTTATTCTATCCTATTATGATAGGGATTCACAATGGTGTTGGGATCACACCAAGATGCCAATTTCGATAAATATTTGTAGCTCAGGGTGCTTGGTACAGGTAGTCCTTGACTTACAACCACAATTGAGCCCCAAATTTCTGTTGCTAAGTGAAACATTTGTTAAGTGAATTTTGCTTCATTTTACACGAATGACGTGATTTTACGTTATTAAGTGAATGACTGCAGTTGTTAAATTAGTAACATGGTTGTTAAGGGAATCTGGCTTCCCCATTGACTTTGCTTTGTCAGAAGGTCATAAAAGCTGGTCACATAACCTTGGGACACAGCAACGGTCATAAGTATGAGTCAGTTGCCATGCGTCCGCAATGTAAGTGTGAAAAATGGTCATAAGTCACTTTTTTCAGTGCCGTTCTAACTTCAAACAGCCACTAAAGGAACAGTTGTAAGTCGAGGACTTCCTGTATTCTCCAAGATTGGTTCTTTTCTTGCAGACATTTCATTACCCAACTAGGTAACATCATCAGTGTTATGATGATGTAAATGAAGTTAACCAGTTGGGCTAATGAAATTTCTGCAGGAAAAGATCCAAACTCAGAGAATACAGGTAGTATATAAACTCTCAGATATGGGTTTATATCTTATTTTACCTAGCTCTGCCAACGTTTTTCTGCTTTTTTGGCACTCCACTGCATGCCAAGAAAATATTCCATTTAACTTAATCATATCCTTAAAAGAGTTTATTGAAACGGGTAGCAACCCTTAAAATCATCCAGATATTTTTCCAAACTTCATTTTAAGGTTTTGGGAACAACACAAGCAAACCCTTTTAACGAATATATAAAATGCCTCATGAAAACAGAATTAACTACACAGTACCAATTGCCAAAAATCAAGGCAGACATTGGTAGTTCTGGTGGTGCTACCATCAGTGAGTGAGACTCAGAACTTTTTTTCCCAAACAGAATTCCCGGTAAGGAATATACCCTGTTTCCCCGAAAATACGATCTACCCTGAAAGTAAGTCCTAGCTTGATTTTAAGCCCTACCTCTAAAATAAGCCCTAATTAAGATTCCTACCCACTCGAGTGCACGGATAAAAATTAAGCTAGGGTGGTGGTGGGGTTGAAGCTGCCCTACTGCTTACCTTTTTGACAGTTGTAGCCAGGCCTCGCACACCCCAACACCTGCCTTGCTGGCCCATTTCTTCAGCAGCCCACAAGGCTGGCAAGGCTTTCCCGAAGGCTTCTGTAGCTGATAACAAAGCTCCGGATCGATCCAGAGGCCTTCGGGAAAGCCTTTCCGGCCGCAGAAGAAGAAGTTCCTGAAGGACCCTGACAGCAAAAAAGAGGCCGGGGCAACGCACACAAGTGAGGTTAGTGGATGGCATCCCCCGAAAATAAGACCTGGTGCCTTTTTTGGTGGCAAAAAAAATATATATATAAGGCAGGGTCTTATTTTTGGGGAAACACGGTATAACACACAATCCACACGCACGAGAAAATACCCAGGTTGCAGAAGACAAAGTGTGGACACAACTGGTTAAAGCTGTTACCATGAGGTTTCAGGGGGCTGAGCTTAATAATTAGCAGAACCAAACCTCTTTTGCAGAAAAGCAGCAAGCACTTTCTCCAAATTATTCTAGAATCCATTTTGCTTCCCCAGATGGGTTCTTCAGAAACTAGTCACGCCTATTAACCTGAGCCCAGTACAGATAGTCCTTGACCTATAGCAATTCGTTTGGCGACCTTTCGGAGTTAAAATGGCACAGGGAAAAGTGACTTAGGAACCGTTTTTCACACTTATGACTGTGGCAGCATCCCCTTGGTCAGGTGGTCAAAATTCGGATGCTTGGAAACTGACTCATCTTTATGTCGGTTGCTTTGTCCCAGGGAGTCCCGGGATCCCCTTCTGCGACTGTCTGACAAGCCAAATCAATGGGGAAGCAAGATTCATTTAATGACCGTGTTACTTACTTAACAACTGTGGTCATTCATTTAACAACGGTGGCAAGGAAGATTGTAAAATGGGACAAAACTCTGTCTTGCTTAGCAACACAACCTTGGGCCTCAGTTGTGGTCGTAAGCCGAGGAACACCTGTATTCCTGATCTGCTCACCGTCATGCCCTCTCTATTTTCTCTCTCTTCTCCAGAGAGAGAATATAGAATAACAGAATTGGAAAGGACCTTGGAAGTCTTCTAGTCCAACCCCTTGCTCAAGCAGAACTTATACCCGTGATGGTGAACCTATGGCACACGTGCCACAGGTGGCACACAGAGCCATTTGTGCCGGCACGCGAGCTGCAGGCAAACTTACCTCACTGCACATGTACACACCTGACAGCTGATTTTGCCAAGTTTGAGGCTTCAGGAAGGCTTTGCAGGCCGAAAACTAGCCCCATTTCATCACTTCCTGTTTTTCTGAAAATACCAGAAGTGACAAAACGAGGCTAGTTTTCGGCCTGCAAAGCCTGCAGAAGCCTTCCTCAAGCCTTTGGGAGGCTGAAGAAGGCCTCAAACCGGCAGAAAATCAGCTGTGAGGCACAGTGCACGTAAAGGGGTGGGGGTGGGTGGGGATTGTGCACACATGCATAGGGGATGTGGGGGGGGGCACATTGCCTTCTGGGTGCTGGCATGCGAGCGCGAGCATGCACACAATTTTTGGCACAGGAGCCCAAAAAGATTAGCCAATACTGACTTATACCATTCCCGACAAACGGTTGTTACAAATTCACAAAATCTGACAGAGCTTTTCATCAGACAGATGTGCTCATCATTTCCTCCCCCAGCACCCCCCCCCTTTTTTTAAACCAGAGCTCTGCCAAAAACTCTTGAAAGTTTCTGAGTAGCAGAATACAGACCTGAATTTTTCTTGTTAGGATTCAATGTGGGAAAATATGAAAATATTATATACCTAATAATTCATGTAATCACAGCTGCAAGATTGGCCCATGCACAACGATGAAAATGTAAAGAAACTCCAAGTGAAATAGAATAATTAGGAAAATTTGGATGTGCGCAGAAATGGGCAAATTGACAAAAGAATTAAAAAATAAGGATGAATAGGATTATTACAAAGTATGGGATAAGTTTTATTGTTGGTTAGAAAGGAGGAAGGATCGGGATAATAAGAAATGATTATATGTATGTATTGTACACTATGTATACAGAATGTAAATATGTAGCATTGTAATATGGGACTTAGCAATGTATGACAATTATGTGGGTTAGGAGGATTGCACCATGTTCATTGTTTTTAATGTTCTTTTCTTTTTTGTGTTTGTCTAAAAAAAATTGAAAAAAGAAAAAGAAAAGAAACTTTCTCAGAATAAATGTGCCTCCTTCTTAGCGAGGGGAACGGCCAAAGAAGTGCAGCCTAATAACAAAAGAATAATAAGCAAGCGGGAATAACATAAACCTTTAGATCTCTTACCAGTACATAGGAAAAAAAAACATACATACAAAATACAGAATAACAGTTGCAAGGGACCGTAGAGATCTTCTAGTCCTGTGGTCGCCAACCAGAGGGCTGGGGACCACTGGTGGTCCGTGAGAAAATTTTGGTGGTCCGCAGAGAAATGTCACCCCCAAAGCAATTAATCCAGGCTCCGTGGGAACACAAGGCTTGCATTGCTTGCAAAGAAGAAAACGAGGTAGTGAGGGGAGGGGGGGAAGGGTGGAGGGGGGGGGCTTGCCCCACTTGCCCCACTCACCTTGCCTGGCCACTGGGCTGTTTCTTTCCGCTTCTTTCTTCTTCTGCTTTTGGCTGCACACAAGAATAGCAGCAAAAGTCTTTCTTTCTCTCCCCCAAACTCTGCCAGAAATGAGTCTTTGGGACCCTGCAGGGCATCCTGCTCCAAGAGGCTGCGCCGGGGCAACAAGTCTCACAAAGACTCATTTCTGGCGGAGTTTGGGGGAGAGAAAGAAAGACTTCTGCTGCTTTCCTTGCATGAAGCCAAAAGTCTCTCTCTCTCTCCCCCTGAGAACGGAGCTGGAGACGGTATCCTGCGATCCCAAATAAAGAATGACCGATCGGTAAGAAAACCGGATGGGAAATTTTCCTGCAGACTTTTTTTGGGGTTTTCCCAGGGTCTCTTGCTCCGTGCGATTTAAAATTATGAGTTTGGTGGTCCCTGAGGTCCAAAAGGCTGGCGACCCCTGTTCTAGGCCAACCTCCTGCTCAAGCAGGAGATCCTATACCACTAGGGAAAAACAGTTGTCCAATCTTTTTTTGAAAAAAGCCCGCAGTG